ACAGAGCCTCTATCATCTATGCCATTGTTTTTCCTCCCTCCCAGTTTATGAAGTTTTATTCTAATTTTCTGTTTAATGTATCTATTGAAATGGTAATTTTAATTCTGTATATGATGTCTTAAAATCTTATTTTTTTTAAATATCTGTATTTCTTATATTTCCCTTTTCTTTTAACATGGTTTCTAGCCATTTTTTTACTTATTAAATTATTTAAATGTACTTATTTTATATTATCTTTCATATCATTCTGATCTCTCTTGATTTTGCATCCCAGTTCCTTCTTTGTTTTGTTTTACTGCTTTTCATTATTTCTCATTGCTGAATATCTTGTGGCTATTAATTTATTTACTCAATTGTTATTTAACTTGTGTGTATGTGTGAAAGAGAGAACTTCCTGGGAATATGTTTTGTCTTTCCTGTGGTTTTCCATGCATACTGGTTTGTGGAAGTATGCCTATATGGTGATTCCACAGTAGCTTCTGCCAGGATGTTAGTGGTTTAACGTGTTCCAGAGAAATTTTCATGATAATGTATCAGTTTGTCTTTCCAGAACCACAATGTTTGAGTAAATTCAATTGCTTCTTGTGTAACATAGGCTTAGACAAAAATTTTATAAAGCTTCTGTTTTATTTGCATGTCAGTCCTTGCTTTTTAGTCAAGAAATGGTCTTGCTAATTCCTCTTTCATAATATAGGAATTTCTAATGCCCTCTTTCTGATTCCTTTTATCCCTTGAAGATATGAGGCAGTCTTTATGCAAGAAATTCTGTTTCAGCCCTCTACCTCTGACAGGCTGAAAGCCATGACTACTCTGTACGGGTATTAAAATTCCAACTTCTGATTCATACAACCAGTATGTATAATAATGCTTGAGCCAAGACAACATTAGCTATTAATTTCTCATCAACTTTTCATTTCTTTATCCTTTCTGACATATAAAAATCATCCTTTGTTTTCAATTTGATATGTTTAAGACTATTCTTTATATTTTTTATTCAATAGTTTTCAACATTTAACAAAAAAAGAAGTTTAATTTACTGAAATGGTTGTTTCTCAAAAAATCTCTTGACATCAAACTGTCACCAAAAAGAAACTGTTCGTCAATTTTTTTATGAAACATGCCATACTTTTTAAAGTTGCTTTTATGTCATGTTTTCCAATAATGGAATAGGTAAGAATAACAAAAAAATAACATACTAATATTAAATATGGTATAATGTGTTTACATATTTAAATTGTATTTTAAAATATTATTTTATTTAGTTAAAAATAGAAAATAAGTTAATGAATGTATTGATAAAAGAAGTCAGTTACTATGAACCTAGAAAAGAACCCAGGTTCTATTACTAGTCCTATGCTTTTGTTAATCTCCACTTTCCTCATACTGATGATGGATCAGGTAAGTATAAATATTAATTAACAAATTTATTTTCCATAACATATCAAGGACTTAAGAATATTTTTTGTATATTTATTACCTTTGCATGATAAAAGTTATAATTACTTCCTCCATCCACTAAAACAGAAAACCACATCAACTTTCCTGAGTTCCAGCCAACAAGATGTAGATTCAACATCTCCTAGGATTTTTATGTGTTTGGTGAGGCAACCAACTGACCCAATTACATGGCATAAAGCACTGTTTTTCAGCAGTGACAATAGTGTGCTTTCTATTGTGAGGTTAGGAGAAATCGTTTGCTGGTCATAAACTTAATAATTTTATTAATTAATAATAATAATAATTTTATTATTTAATAATTTCATTAAAATTATAACAATTTTATTATATATACTATATCAAAGTTCCTCAATAATTTAATACAAAGAGTAGATTAGAAATTATACAAGTGAGATTATTCTGACAGCCATTCTGATATGTATTTTGTTAGCAAAAGAAAACACTGAGTTACACATAAGCTACTATGATGTTTGCATAATTTAAAGCCAATCGTCTTTGTTTTTAATCTAGAATAAACTGTTCATGGGAATGTCATGGTGCCATAAAGAGAAAAGAAGAACCTTGTTATCATGGAGACAGATTCTCTCCAGCTTTACTTAAAGAATGTTTTTCTTTAATTTTTCTGAATCAACACATTGACACTACTAACAACTGGAAGCTAAAGCAGATTCATTTAAACTTGGCATTCTAATTTGTACACAGACCTAGCTGGTATTTACTGGGAGCTTCTTATGTGTCAAACACTCTTGTTACATTTACTTTTTGGCGTGCCGTAAATAACTTAATCTTGTCAATAAACTTACTATTATTATTCTCATTTTAAAGATAAGGAATATGAGACTATGAAAGCTTGCAGAAGTCTATGCAGTGAGAAAAAAATCAGAGAGAGCTTTTATTCCTATGTGTTATATTATGTTTCTCACAATCTCCTGTTATAAAATAAAGGCAAAATTCCACCAACAACAATTAAAAGAAAAGAGAAAAAAAAAAAGATATTGGTAATGATTAGTTTTGCGTAGTGGTTATGCACCCTTTGCAACCCAAAGAGGTGCATGTGTTAACTCTGGAACCTGTGAATATGTAAACTAACAGCTAAAAAGGCTTTGAAAATGTGATTAAGTTAAAGATATTGAGATGGGAAGGTCATGACAGATTGTCTGTGTGGGCCCAAGTAATCATATGGGCCCTTAAAAGTAGAAATGAGAGACAGAAGAGTCAGACAGAGGAAGATTTGACTACAGAAGAGTGTCAGAACAATGTGAAATGAGAAACTCAACCACCTTCTCTGGCTCTGAAGATGGAAGAAGGGGCCACAAGCCGAGGAATGCAAGCAGGTAGCCGCTAGAAGCTAGAAAGGCAAGGAAATAGATTTTCCCCTGGATCCTCCAGAAAGGGTCGTGATGATTTTAGTCCAGTGGGATATATTTCAGACTTCTGACCTGTAGAACTGTTAGATAATTAATTTATGTTGTTTAAGTTGCCATGTTTGTGGTAATTTGTTGCAGCAGTCACAGGAAACTAATGCATAGTTATGTATGACTTCAGTTTAGTTATGAATAAAAGCATATATTAAATTGTCTTAAAATTCATTAAATTTAAAAGAGTAACAAAAAAGATATGATTTCCATTTAGGGACTTTTGATAGCTGAGTGTCTTATTTTAATATTAGAAAATTTTAAGTCCGAAGATGAACAGCATCGTTCCCAAGTCTTGAGATAAATTGCAATAATTTATCAAAGAATAAAATTCTTCTTTATCCTTTTATTCTATCAGAGCAGACATCAGCAACCTTGTTCTTAAAAAATGGATAGTAATTTTTTTTGCTTTTTCAGGCCTTATAATCTTTATCAAAACTACTCAACTCTACCATTATAATGGGAAAGTAACGGTAGATAATATGTAAATGAATAGGTGTGTCTGTGTAACAATAAAAATATTTATAAGAACAGGTATCCAGCCTTTAGGCTATATATAGTTAGCCAAACTCTGTGTTAGAGTCTGGCTTGAAGGGTATTCACATTGACTATGAAGTTTTTGCATTCAGAGTGCTGTTTTCACTCTCAAAAATGCCCTGGGGTTTATGGCCCTAGTCCTATGGTCGTGGGGTATATGGCCCTAGTTCTATGGTCACATATACCTGCAAGTCTTTGGCTTTCCAAGGAGCTCCCCGAGGGATTGGTCCTCTTCCTCTTGATCACTTACTTATTCTTTTCAGAGGGACCCCAGGTGTTAATTGGAGCTGACCCAAACAAATAGGTACAATGGTCGATTTATGCCAGCCTCTCACATTACAAAGTTGCAGTATAGCCAGCAATCCCAATAGACATGTGCTTGGACAAGGGAACATACCGGTGGTGGGTAAGTCTAGTTACCAAATAATTACTCAGAGGAAGATTTACCATGGAACAAATGAAGGTAATTCTTCAGAGCCTGAAACACCAAGGCCACACACAAGGCCCTAGAAAGACCCTACAATGTCTCTATGTGGTCACATGTGTTTTTAAAATGTATATATGTATAAGCTTCAGGTCCTGCAACCCTGGACCCTTTCCTGACTTTGGAAACACTATTCCACATGCTGGGCAAAACAGCCTTCATGATAACTGAAACAAAGTTTAACAAATTCTTTCAAATTACAGTTTAGAGATTATTTAATGCAGGAATGGCATCTAATTCATCAGTGCTGTTTTCAAATCCTGGTTTGTAAATAACAGTGCTTAATAAATATTTGTGGAATTGATATGATATTGAAAAGATCAATGCATGGATGCAAACAAAAGCTAAGTCATTGTAGAAGGAAGTATTTTAGAAATGCTTTACTGAAGTTAAGAAATTAGAAAAAAGGGCATTAAGAAAATTACAGAACAGAAAAATAATCATAATTTTTTAAAAGAAGAGTATGTTTAATTAAAAAATAAAAGTTGACAATATATAAAAGAGAATGTTGAGGGTTGAAATATATTATATAACCTGGTTCCTAAGGAGAGAAAATGCTGTGGAATGACTGAGGAAATAGGAATGGTAGAAGCTATCACAAAAAAAGATGAGATGTTGTTGCTTTCTTTTTTATTTTTTAGCAGAGAAAAATAGCTTTGCAAAACTCTAAAAAAATTATTACTGTCTAATGAGAGACTCATATTTACTTCAATTGACTCTCAGTACAGTTAGCCCAACCCTTTAAATCACCAGCATAATGTCATCGGATAATGAGACTGTCATAATACAATTCTATAGCTACCCACTGCTCCTTTCTTAGTTTTATGAGGGAAGATTATAGCAAATTATGGCTATATATGCCTCTCTTGCTATAGGTACTGACACTAATGGATCTTAGCTCCACTTGTCTGAGAAATAAATGAGTTCTATAGATTGGCAATAAACAGAGTCACAGTAGGGGAAATCAGCTTCAGCTGGTTCCAAGAAAAAAGAAATAGACTTGACAGGGAATCTGAATGTAGGATTCATTTATGTTTGATTTGTGATTGAGATTGCTCAACTGCATTTTTTTTTCCTTTCCACCTGTCAAGGCAGATTCTATGTACAGACTCCCATTGACAGCGTTGCTGCAGGCGTTGCGTGAGTGTTCCACGATGAGTGCTCTCTGTGTGACACAGGGACATGGGAAGACCCTCTGTCCCCAGAGACCTTCTTCACCAAAGTGTAAAGCTGTCTGTATCTCCACATGACTCACTGATGAATGAGACCTAAGAGGCCTAGATACATGTAGACATAAAGCTGAAAGAAAATAATATGTTAATGAGTAACTCATTTGCACATTAGTCAAGATATTAGTTACAAGGACTTTATTATAGATTATCTATTTTTAAAAATATTTTAATGAATGTTTTTGCCATAGTCATTCTAAGGTGATCTTCAGAGATGTGTCATGTATAAACCCATGTGCATCAGGTCTGATACTAAACCAAAATGTCTTATTAAGAATTTAGGCTAATAAATAAAAAGTTGATAAAACACTTTGCTCTACTACTGTCTTAAAAGTGATTATCTGCTGGGGACTGTTCATGGTCAGTAAGTCCTTATGAAATAAGAAAAAGTTAAGCTTGCCGGCTAAAAATTCAAATTTTAATTACTTAAATAAAAATGGGTTTCAAATAAGTTCCAATTCTTGTATTCATATTAAAATAAAAAATAAGTTACACTTCTACTTTTAAAGTTTTATTTATTTATTTATTTACTATTTATTTATTGTTTGTTTGTTTGTTTGTTTATTAGGTAAGGCAATCCTTGGTTGACCTCACAGATTGCAAGGACCTTGTCAGCTTACAATCCTTTATTTTTTAAAATTTTTTATGCCTACAGCACCTGGGTGGCCGTAAAGCTATTTTGTAGTTGTTAAGTTTCTTATTCTCTGTTAAGATATATTAAAAATGCTAATGATTTACATAGTCCAAATTCCTAATCCAAAGCAAAAAGAATTAACATACCTCAAAAACAAAAACAAAATAAAATTTAAAATTATGAAATCCATTCTTTAATCTTTTGCTTATTTAGCAAATTATTTACTAAGAACAAGGCATTGTTAGACACGAAAAAGAAAGTTTAAGGAGATTTGCTATTTTTCTCCAGAATGTTCACATTTGAATGGAAAAGTTGAACATATAAAACAATTACAATAAGAAGCATTTTCATATAAATTAGTACAAAATGCGAAGATTTCTCTTCAGGGATAAACAAAATTATAAAATTTTGATTTGGGTCTGGAAGACTCAGGAAGTCTTAACCAAGTAGATTAAAAAAAGAAATGCTTTCCAGGCAGAAGGAATAGCTTTCAAAGGCATAAAGTTGGGAAAGATTATAGCATCTCTAGGAAAAGGAGAAAAGTGAATAACAGTGTAGTTAAAGAATTGAGTTTGGATTGGAAAGTGATAAATATGGCTGAAACATTAGATTAGGACCAGAGTCTGAAGTCTGAAGGGATTTGTTCCCAAGTACTATAAATATATAAAATAATAATAATAATAACAATAAATATGGATATATAATATAGTAATAAATATATATTTAACCTAATAGGAAGGAGAAAATCCTATAATATTTTTAAGCAGAAGTGATATACTCTAATCAATACCTTGTAATAAATCTGATTCTGTAAGAAGAAAGGAGTGTAGTATAGAAAGACATATAAAAAGCTGCTGTAAAAATTTGAGTGGAAGTAGAAGAAAACCTAAAATATAGACTTAATTAAGGAAGGTGAAACTTTTTGTTTAAACAATTGCACTAGGACTAAAACTGTAGGAAACAAAACCATAATTTACAATGAATGTTAAATTCTGTTTCTGGATTTATTGTAACTGCAAAGAGAAACTAGTTCTTTCATTATAAACAACCATAAAAGAGGACAAATAAAATGAATGCATGATTTCCAAACATTGGATAATATGTAGCATAAAACTAAGAAACCTAAGAAAAGAGAAACCTGTGACAATGGGCCAACTTTCTGTTTGGTGGAAATTTTCCCAACCACCACACAGGGTGCTACAATCCAACCAGGGCAAGGGGTCCCCACTAGAGTTCAGAGCAGTTGGAGCAGCTGGAGCAGCTGGAACATAGTAG